CTTATGTTAACGGAAATAATTTGGGCACAGAAAGATAAACATCACATGTTCTCACTCATATCTGGGAGCTGAAAAAATTGAGCTTATAAAAGTAGAGAGTAGAACTGTGATTATAAGTGCTGAGTAGAGTAGTAGAGAGAGGAAGATAGGGAGAGATTGGTTATGCATACAAAGTTATAGCTCTATGGGAGGAATAAGTTACAGTATTTTGTAGCACTGTAGAGTGAATATGATTAATAATAATTTAGGGTATATTTTCAAAAAGCTAGAAGAGAAAATTCCGAATGTTTACAACATAAATAATACATGTTTGAGATGATGGATATGCTAATTACTCTGATTTTATCCTTACGTAGTGTATACATGTATTGAAGTATGCTGTATCCCATAAATATGTACAATCATTACACATCAACTAGAAATAAAAGAAAAAATAAAAAGAAAAGAAAAAAGAACATTTGTGATTCATGAAAGGAGGTAAAAATAGCAACACCAATAGGACTTTGGAAGAAGTTGATGGCAACTCTCATGAATGACGTTGAGGGGTTCAAGATTTCAGTGGGGAAAGTAACTGCAGATGTGAAAATTAGCAAGAGAACGAGAATGAGAAGTGGAGCCTGAAGATGTGACAGAATTGCTGCAATCTCATGCTAAAACTTGAACAGATGAAGAGCTACTTCTTATGGATCAGCAAAAAGGGTGGTTTCTTGAAATGGAATCTACTCTTTGTGAAGATGCTGTAAACATTGTCAAAATGACAACAAAGGATTTAGAACAGACATAAGTTTAGTTGATAAATTAGCAGCAGGGTTTAAGAGAATTGACTCCAATTTTGAAAGAAGTTCTATTGTGGGTAAAATGCTATCAAACAGCATCCCATGCTACAGATAATTTTTTTTTTTTTTTTTTGTGAAAGGAAGAGTCAATGGGTGCAGCATACTTCATTGTTGTCTTATTTTAAGAAATTGCTGCAGCCACTCCAACCTGCAGCAACCATCACCTTGGTCAGTTAGCAGCCATCCTCATTAAGGCAGGACCCTCCACCAGCAAAAATATTACAACTTGCTGAAGGCCCAGAAGACCACTAAAATTTTTGGCAATAAAGTATTTTTATTTATCTATCCATTTTTATTTTTATTGCGAGACAGGGTCTTGCTATGTTGCCCAACCTAGACAGGAACTCCTGGTCTCAAGGGATCCTCCTGCTTTAGTCTACTATGTAGCTGGAACCACAGGCACATGCCACCACACCTGGCTTTAAGCAATTAAGTATTTTCATTTTTTAAATTTTTAAAAATTCTTTATTTCCATAGGTTATTAGTGAACAGGTGATGTTTTGTTGCATGAGTAAGTTCTTTAATGGTGATTTGAGAGATTCTGGTGTACCCGTCACCCAAGCAGTATACACTGAACCCAATTTGTAGTCTTCTTTTTTTTTTTTTTTTTTTTTAGATGGAGTTTCACTCTTGTTGCCCAGGTTGGAGTGCAATGGTGTGATCTTGTCTTACCATAACCTCCGCCTCCCAGGTTCAAGCAGTTCTCCTGCCTCAGCCTCCCAAATAGCTGGGATTATAGGCGTGTGCCACCACACCCAGCTAATTTTGTATTTTTAGTACAGACGGGGTTTCTCCACGTTGGTCATGCTGGTCTTAAACTCCTGACCTCAGGTGATCTGCCCGCCTTGGCCTCCCGAAGTGCTGGGATCGCAGGTGTGAGCCACTGCACCTGGCCCCCGATTTGTAATTTTTGTCCCTCACCCACTTCCCACCCTTTCCCCCTGAGTCCCCAAAATCCATTGTGTCATTATTTATGCCTTTACATCCTCATAGCTTAGCTCCCACTTATGAGTGAGAACATGTTTGATTTTCCATTCCTGAGTTACTTCACTAAGAGTAATAATCTCCAATCTCTTCCAGGTTGCTGCAAATGCCACTAATTCATTCCTTTTTATGGCTGAGTAGTATTCCATCAGATACATATGTACATATATATCATATATATACACATATATACATATATACATATTGTGTGTGTGTGTATATATATATATCATAGTTTCTTTATTCACTTGTTGATTGATGGGCGTTTGGGTTGGTTCCACATTTTTGTAATTGTGAATTGTGCTGCTATAAACGTGTGTGGAAGCATCTTTTTCATATGACTTATTTTCCTCTAGGTAGAAATCCAATAGTGTGATTGCTGGATCAAATGGTAGTTCTGTTAGTTCTTTAAGGAATCTTCACACTGTTTTCCATAATGATTGTACTAGTTTACATTCCCACCAGCAGCGTAGAAGTGTTCCCTGTTCACCGCATCCATGACAACATCTATTATTTTTTGATTTTTAAATTATGGCCATTCTTGCAGGAGCAAGGTAGTATTTCATTGTGGTTTTGATTTGCATTTCCCTGATCATTAGTGATGTTGAGCAATTTTTGATATGTTTGTTGGACATTTGTGTATCTTCTTTTGAGAATTTTCTATTCATATCCTTAGCCATGACCACTTTTTGTTGGGATTTTTTTTTCTCCTTGTTAATTTGTTTGAGTTGTAGATTCTGGATATTAGTCCTTTGTCAGATGTATAGATTGTGAAGATTTTCTCCCACTCTGTGGGTTGTCTGTTTACTCTTCTAACGCTTCCTTTTGCTGTGCAAAAGCTCTTTAGTGTAATTAAGTTCCAGCTATTTATCTCTGTTTTTATTGCATTTGCTTTTGGGTTCTTGGTCATGAAAGCCTTGCCTAAGCCAATATCTAGAAGGGTTTTTCCAATGTTATCTTCTAGAATTTTTATAATTTCAGGTCTTAGATTTAAGTCTTTGATCTATCTTGAGTTTTTTGTATAAGGTGAGAGATGAGGATCCAGTTTCATTCTCCTACACGTGGCTAGCCAATTATCCCAGCACCATTTGTTGAAAAGGGTGTCCTTTCCCCACTTTATGTTTTTGTTTGCTCTGTAGAAGATCAGTTGGCTATAAGTATTTGAGCTTATTTCTGGGTTTTCTATTCTGTTCCATTGGTCTATGTGCCTGTTTTTATACTAGTACCATGCTGTTTTGGTGACTATGACCTTATAATATAGCTTGAAATCAGGTAATGTGATGCCTCCAGATTTGTTCTTTTTGCTTAGTCTTGCTGTGGCTATGAGGGCTCTTTTTATGTTCCATATGAATTTTAGGATTGTTTTTTCTAGTTCTGTGAAGAATGATGGTGGTATTTTGATGGGAATTGTGTTGAATTTGTAGACTGTTTTGGCAATATTGTCATTTTCACAATATTGATTCTACCCATCCATGAGCATGGGATGTGTTTCCATTTGTTTGTGTCATCTGTGATTTCTTTCATTTGTTTGTATCATCTATGATTTCTTTCAGCAGTGTTTTGTTGTTTTCCTTGTAGAGGTCTTTTACGTCTTTGGTTAGGTATATTCCTAAGCCTTTTTTTTTGGGTAGCTATTGTAAGAGGGGTTGAGTTATTGATTTGATTCTCAGCTTGGTTGCTGTTGGTGTATAAGAGAACTACTGATTTGTGTACATTAGCAATTAAGTATTTTTAAATTAAGGTATGTACATTGCTTTTTAGATGTAATGCTATTCCACACTTAATAGACTACAGGATAGTGTCAACATAGCTTTTATATGTACCTGGAAACAAAAAAATTTATATGACTTGCTGATTTCACTTATTGTGGTGGTCTAGAACCAAACCTGCAGTATCTCCAAGCTGTGCCTGTACTGGAAAAGGAGCCAGGTGACCTTAAAGATGAGCCTCAACTCTATTTGTTGCATCTGTAAAATGTGGGGGAAGGCCCAACCTATCTTCTGATTCTAACATGTTACAAACATTTTAGACAATTGCTGCTTTCCGATCATCATCTACTTAACAGAGAAGCTGAGGGAACAGGAAAAAGTGATAAAGTCACTGCTACTTGGAGATCAAGGAAAACAATTTAAATATAACATCATTAATGTGGGTACACAACTGGTAGTTAAAAGAGGTAGCAGGGACATAGTAAGGAAAGATAGTTCTCATAGAAAAAATTCCAATGCTGATAATTTTCTGGAAAAACATTTATTGTTTCTTCTTCTCCTCCTCCTCCTCCTCCTCCTCCTTTTTCTTTTCTTTTCTTTTTCTTTTTCTTTTTTTTTTTTTTTGAGACAGGTCACACTCTGTTGCCCAGGCTGGAGTGCAGTAGCGTGATCACAGCTCACTGCAGACTCAACCACCTGGGTCACAATCTCCTGAGTAGCTGGGACTACAGACCCATGGTGCCATGCCAGGTTAATTTTTGTATTTGATGTAGAGACGGAGTTTCACCATGTTGCCGAGGCTGGTCTCGAACTCCTGGCCTCAAGGGATCTGCCTGCCTCAGTCTCCCAAAGAGCTGAGATTACAGGTGTGAGCCTGTACAGTTTAACGAATTAAAGAAAAGTTTCTTTGTAATCCATGCAATTCTATTGCCACTCCTAAGGATTTCCTCCTCCCTCCGAACCAAAATCAGACCTAAGGCTGATTTGTAATAAAACCCCGGTTTCAAGCACTTTTGACCAAGTACTGCCATCTAGTGGCAGTGAGTGTAACCAGCTTGGGGTTTTTTGCTGGCACAAGGAACCAGAAAGTTTGATCTCAGGGTGCCAGTACCACGTAGGAAAGAAGGCTGTCAAACACCGCATCAGCCACCTTTCTGCCTGGTGCAGGTGGATAAACAGAAACTCTCTTCAGTTCCACCTATGACTGCAAACAAAGTCACCAAGGCTAGTTCAGAGGTCACCTCCTCCAAGAAGCCTTCATTGAGTCTCCCACAGGCCCCTCTACTCTCTGTGCTGTGCCAAGGCCTGTGCTTGCTTCCCTTAGAGCACTTCTCAGCTGGGCTATGTATGTCCCTCTGTCTGTCCCAGACTATGGACTTCTGGAGGGCAGAGATCTTGTTTCATGCTTTCTTTTATATGCCTAGAGCCTGGCATATAAATAATATATACAAAATTACACATTATACATATATATAATTATACAATTTATGGAATAAAAACGAGTGAATGACAGAGTAAATGTCCGTTACTTTAATGTCAGTTCCAAAAGAATGCGACATCTGCTTCTCTTAAATCATTTTGTAGACATGGCAGATGCTGCAAAGCTTTGCCTAGAGGCTTCTGCAGGAAGACAGAGCTTCTTCCCCAACTGCTGGGAACTGCTGGCAGAAGGTCCTCAGCTGTAACCTTCGTTGGAAATTGTGTCAGTTGAAGAAACAGCCTCGCCCAAGGCCAGCGCTCCTCCTGGGACAGCCGCATCCAATGCCTGACTAGTGTGGGAGTATGAGGGTCCACAGTTAGAGATTCACCTCTGATTCCTGAAGATGTTGTGATGTTCCTAAGGTCTGCCCTCAGAGGCTTAGTGTGTCTTCCTTGTGTTTCCTTCCCCAGGCCCTGAGTAATTCACCCCATCTCTGCACCTGCAGAAACACGCCCCTCCCATGGCCCAGGACACACTTCTCGTGTCCCTGCTCCTTCTGCACTCAGGCAAGCTCAGCCGAGAACTTTGGTTTAATTGGCAATGTTGCCCATGTTTTCAACTGTTCCTTTTGCCTCTGTATCCCTTTGTGTCTTGCATTGTTTCCTGGGTCTCCAGGACCTGCCTTCCTTTCCCCTTCCCTTGACAAATAAACACCAAACTTTGTCTTGTGGAGTCTCACATTGTGAGAGATAGAGAGTCCATGAGTTCTGAGTCTCCCCGACAGTGTTTGAACAAATGCTGCCCATCTTCACTTCTCAGACAGCAATTGTACCAAGGAGAGCGCTTCTAGACCAGAACCCAGTGAACTTTTTCATAAAGGGCCACACAGTAAACATTTTAGACTTTGCGGGCTACATGGTCTATGTTGCCACTATACAATACTGTACTATTGGAGTACAAAAACAGCCATAGGCGATACTCAAACAGTTCCAGTATAACTTTATTTACAAATCAGGCAGTGGGCAGGATTTGGCCCATGGATCATAGTTTGCTGATGCTGTTCTAGGCAGTCAACATCTACTTCCAGGCCGGGCTTGATCTATGGCTGTCTTGCCTGACTTGTGTGTTCTCTGTCTTCCAATGAGTCTCGGCCTCGTGTAGTCTCGGGCTTGTTCTTCATGACCCAGAACTGTGTCATCCAGATGTCCTGTGTAGTACTTGGGTCAACCTGAGGCTCACCTAAAGTTTTCCAGTCACCTGAAGTAATAAATTCTATGCTGACCTCGCCCTATTTTATGGTGAAAAGAAACCAAAGACTTTCTCCAGTGTCTGGTGGTGATAAGCCTACGCAGAAGAATTACGCCCAAGGAGAGGGCTGTTTTAGACAAAGTGCTTAGGGAAATCCTTTCTAAACAGGAGAACTTTGAACAGAAACCTGGCTGCATTAAGAGGGAAGACCTCTAGGAGAAGCCCTTTCCAGGCAGGAGGGCAAGTGAGTGCAAAGATGTGAGGTGGCAATGCATTTGTCACATGGAGGAACAGTCGGGTGCCGTGTGGCTTGAGCAGAGTGAGCAAAGGGTAGACTGTAGAGGATTAAGTTCGATTTTCATCTTACACTTCCAACTATCTGTGAAAATGAGCTTTCCAAAAACACAGGTGCTGTAGCCCTGGTTATTTCCTGAAATATCAATCCCGGCCCATTGTTATGAACAATGCCAAACTCTGTATTAAGAACTCATGACTTGCCCAGGCGCAGTGGCTCACACCTGTAATCCCAGCACTTTGGGAGGCTGAGGTGGGCGGATCACAAGGTCAGGAAATCGAGACCATCCTGGCTAACATGGTGAAACCCTGTCTCTACTAAAAACACAAAAAAATTAGCCAGGCGTGCTGGCAGGCGCCTGTAGTCCCAGCTACTGGGGAGACTGAGGCAGGAGAATGGCGTGAACCCAGAAGGCGGAGCTTGCAGTGAGCCGAGATCGTGCCACTGCACTCCAGCCTGGGCGACAGAGTGAGACTGAAGAACTCATGACTTCACTAGCACATTCATGAGCTTCTGTGTTGGAAGTTTTTAGGTATCTGAACAAAGGCCGTTTGCAAACACTGTACTGCAAACATCATATTGACATCACTCTCCCTCATCATCCATAAGAAAGTACCTGTATAAAGGGCTCCTTCTCTACCATGCCCGCAATCCATTCGCTATTTCTTTAGCCACCTTTATTCAAGGCAGCTTGTTAGTTCATCACTCTTCATTATGACGAACAAATGCATAAGTTCTCTAAATATATTCACAGACCACTGGATCAGAATCACCTGGGGCACTTGTTAAAAATAAAGTTTCTAGGGTCCCTCTCACTGATCATGTAAATCAGAATCTCGAGGTCGAGCCCACGAATCAGCATTTTAAATAAGCTTCCTAGGTACTTGCTACTCAAAGTGTGATCCTCACATCAGCAACACGAGTCCCTGCAAACTTGTTAGAAATGCAGAATCTGGCCTGGTGAGGTGGCTCATTCCTGTAATCCCAGCACTTTGGGAAGCCGAGATGGGTGGATCACCTGAGATCAGGAGTTCAAGACCAGCCTGGCAAACATGGCGAAACCTGTCTCTACTAAAAATATAAAAACTAGCCAGGTGTGGTGATGGGCGCCTGTAATCCCAGCTGCTCGGGAGACAGAGGCAGGAGAATTGCTTGAACCCAGGAGACGGAGGTTGCAGTGAGCCAACACGGTACCACTGCATTCCAGCCTCGGTGACAGAGTGAGACTCTGTCTCAAAAAAAGGAAAAAAGAAAGAAAAGAAAAAAGAAAAAAAGAAATGCAGAATCTTGGGCCCCATGCCAGGTCTAGTGAATCAGAATCCACATTTAACAAAATTCTCCGGTGTTGCCTTTGCCTATTAAAGTTTGAGAAAAACAGGCCTAGACGTTTCTTCTTACATCCTGGAGTGTGAGAACCACTGATTGAATGCTATTAAAGGGAGACAGCAGACTTTTTCAGAATAGGGCCTACACTGAGATTTGGGTCCCAGGAAATGGTTGCTTGGCTTGCCCAGTAGAAAAAGGAACTTATGCAGTCTGCAGGTTCCCTTTCTGCATGTGAGACCGCTTCAATCTACAAAGATTTTCTAGTTTTCAATGTATCCAACTGCAGAAGTCTGCCTCCTTTCTGAAGCTTGCAATGTCCTTGCTGACAATTGTTTTCCAGGAGTGTTTATCATGGCCGCCGGTTGTGGAATTTCATATTGGTATCGAATCCACTTTTGCAGGCTGGCTCTGTGCTGAGTTGTTAGTGAAATTCAGGTGGCTGGCAGTTTATGCAAGTCAATGTTGTTTTCTATGTATTTTATTCATTCATTCAACAAGCATACACTGAGTGTTGCTAGTTACTGTTCTAGGTGCGGAGGAGAGCGCTGAATACAAAAAATAAGGTTCCCACTCTCACAGAGCTTCCATTAGAATAGAGAGGGGGAAAAGCTAACAAGCACATGAAAGTCATAGCAATAGTGGTATAAGGGCAATAAATCAACAGTACGATAGAATGACTGTGGGCAGATGGGCTCTTCGGATGCTCTAAGGCCATTCTGAAGTTATAAAACTATTACCTCACTCCTAGAAAAGAGAGGTGGTCATCACACCTATCAAAACCAACATTGATTAAGAGCTCAAGTGGCTAGCATGTGGCCCAAGGGCTGTAGGCACAGTGGTGAATGCAGCAGGCTTCTGCTCTCAAGCAGGTGATGTTCTAGCAGGAGTTGGGCTGGGGTGGTCAATAAACAAAACAAAATATAAGGAAGGCAGCTTCAGGCTGCAGTAAGTGGAATAAGGAAAGTAAGAATGGTGATTTCGTAGAGAGAAACAGGGAAGGGAGAATGATCAGGAAACGTTCATTCAGAAGGTGATGTTAGTGCCAATACCTCAGTCATGAGAAAGAGCCTGTCACAGAAGACCCTAGGGAGCAGCATTTAATTAGAAAGAACAGCAATGCCCAAAGATGTGAAAAAGCTTGGCTTATTTTGGAAAGGAAGAAAGCTAAGTACTACTGGAGCATCACAGTAGGTGAGGGTTGGAGTGTTTCAAGGTGAGACTAGGGAAATCACTCAGGGACACACGGGCTCAGAACTGAACGGTGGAATGGCGATGCGAATTGTGGAGACTTTAATCACTGGTATGCTGGGACCAGTTCTGCTGCTGGAAGAATGTACTGTGATGTGGAAGGGCAGAGACAATAGGTGGTAGTGGTGGGTAGGAGGTGGAGGTGGTGGGAAGTGGACCATACATTCTAGGGATAGAACCCATGGGGCTTGCTGATTGATAGAACATGGGTGACACGGGGAAGGGAAAAATCAAGAATGCCTGCTTGGGGGCCTCAGCAGCTGAGCCAATGACAGTGCTGCTTACAGAGTAGGGAAAGAGTAGTAGGGAGAATGCAGAGTTCTGTGTAGGGCATGTTGCACTGAAGATGACACGAGCACTTCATTTCGTACTCTAGCTTTGTAACAATTGTTTATGCCCCTTACACTTCTTTCTTTTTTGCTTCGCTTCTGTCCTGTCAGTTTCTGATAGAAGAAATGTAGCAGTTAGGATACCGTTTGGCTCCTTGCAAGAGAAAATAAGGTTTAGACAAGCAAGTACAAGGCTTGTTCAGTTGCTCAAGGAAACCACCAAGGTCTCAGGCCCCTTCTATCTTTCTGCTCTCTTATCATTAATTTGTGGCTTTCCTCTTCATGGTACAAGGTGGCAGGCAGCTGTGCCTCCAGGCATTGGAAGAAAATTCTCCATGAATATTTCATAGTTTTTCACGGTTCAGGCTTTCTGAACAGCGGAGGTGTTTGGATTGCCATGGCCTTAGAAACTGGAGACAGTGTCTCCCTAAAGGTATAGAAGTCCTGAGAGATTTGGAGAGTTAAATTCCTCTCTTTCTCCATCTTGGAGACATTTCTTACAATCCAGGATGATCAACCAAGTGATCTCTTCCTCTTCTCCCTTGGAGGATATTTCTTTAATGAGTAATCTCTTTCCCTGGAGGGAAGGATGAGCAGATGTACCAGTGGCCTCTGAAACCCCTAATTTGGGGATGTAAACTCTGCTTTCACCTAATTCTATTTAATAGGGATAAATGGGTAGACATGTCTTTCCTATCTGCTTGAACAAAAGTACCTCTGAATTTAGCACAAATGCTTTCAGGCATACAGAGCAATGCTTAGCACGGGCCAAGGGAAGGAAAAAGGCATGACTGGAAAACCAGTACCCAGTTCTTATAACAAACATCTCTTATAAACACACACTGCTCAGATGGTGAAAGAACAGCACCAGAAGTAAAAATAACTACAGAACTATTTGTACCCTTCTCAAATGTATTCTGCTGGTTTCTCAAAAGCTATTGAGTAAAACTAGATATCAGAATCCTAAAAGGCATCTCTCATTTGTATTAATTCTGCAGCATTCACTACTATTTAATAAATCCAGCAATGGAAGAATGTATTTGGAACAGTAGGAAAGAGTACATAATATTAATATATTTGAGAAGCTCTTAGCAACAGAGGAGGCTTTGTTCTCTGAGTTTTTAGAAATCATTTCTAAAGTTGTTTACTTATTAATTAAATCATGCCTGAATCAGGCTTTCTCTGATTGTTTTATTCTCTCAGTGGCAGCAAACGTGCTCCTTCCCAGGACTCAGTCTGCCCTGCAGGCCTTAAAAGCCTTCCTCTCTGGGCACCCTGACTCCTAGTCAATCAATTTTTATATTTTTTGCAGATTTAAAATACAATATAATTCACATAGCATAAAATCCACCTCTTTAAAGTGTACAATCCCATGATTTTTAGTAAAGTCATACAAATTTGTACATCCATTCCCACTATCTAACTCCAGAAATTTTAATCACCCCTAAAAGAAACTTTGGAATCATTAGCAGTCAATCCCCATTTCTCTCTTGCCCAGCCCCTGGCAACCACTAATCTATTTTTAGCCTCTACAGACTTAAGTAAATCTATATGCCCAGAACAAGTTTCTGGGTGTTACCTATAAATAGAACCATACAATATGCAGGCTTTTGTTGTCAGGCTTGTTTCACCTGCATAATGTTTTCGAGGTTCATTCATGTCATAGCATGTATCAGTATTTCATTCCTTTTATGGCTGAATAATTTTCCACAGTTTGGATAGATCACATATGTTTATCCATTTTTCAGTTCATACATTTGGGTTGTTTCCACATTTTGGCTATTATGAATAGTGCTGCTATGAACATTCTTACGCTATATTTTGCATGAACCTATGTTTTCCATTCTCTTGGGTATGTACCTAATAATGGAATTGCTTGGTTGCATTTTGAGGAACTGCCAAATTGTTTTTCCAAAATGGCTGCAGCAGTTTACATCCTTACCAGTAATGTATGAGGGTTCCAATTTCTCCACATCCTTGACACTTGTTATCTTTTTTGATTCTAGCCATCCTAGTGGGTGACAAGCGGTATCTCATTGTGGTTTTGATTTGCATTTACCTAATGACGAATGATGTTAAACATCTTTTGATGTGCTTATTGGCCATTTGTCTATCTTCTTCAGAGAAATGTCCATTTATGTTCTTTGCCCATTTAAGACTTAGATATTTTTATTACTGAGTTGTAAGAGCTTTCTATATATTCTGGATACTAGATTCTTATCAGGTATATGATTTGCAAATATTTTCTCCCACTTTGTAGATTGTCTTTCACTTTCTTAATACAGTCCTTTGATGCACAAGAGTTTTAATTTTGACGAAGTTCAATTTATCTGTTTTCTCTTTTGTTGCATGTGCTTCTGGTGTCATATTTAGGAAACTGTTGCCTCACCCAAGGGCACAATGATTTAAACCTATGTTTAATTTTAAGACGTTTATAGTTTTAGTTCTTATACTTAGGTCTTTGATTGATTTTGAGCTAATTTCTGCATACGGTGTGAGGCAGGGGTCCAAACTCACTCATTTGTGTATGGATGTCCAGTTATCCAATTATAATTTATTTAAGATTATTCGTTCCCCATTGAGTAGTCTTGACATCCTTGTCAAAAATCAATTGATCATATAGGTATGGATTTATTTCCAGATTCTCAGTTCTATCCCATTGATCTGTTTGTCTATCCTTATGCCAGTACCAGGCCATCTTGATTAACATAGATTTGTACTAGGATTTAAAATTAGGAAGTGTTAAGTCCTCCAACTTTGTTTTTCTTTTTCAAGATTATATTGGCTACTCTGGGTTCCTTGCACCTCTAAATGAATTTTAGGATCATTTCTGCAAAAAAAGCAGTTGGAATTATGCCAGTCAGGTTTTGTTTGACAATTTGGGGCTATTTATTTGGCACTCTTGTTACTGAGTCAGGAACTCAAGACGTGAGGGTGACTCAGGGTACTTAAACTTAAATATTACCCCATTTCCTCAAACCACCACCACACATACTTGGCAAAATGATGGATCATCAATTTAGGAGTTCGAAAATGCTCTGAGAGAATGGTTTGTCCTGATTTGGAATGCCATCTTCTCTCTCTTCTGCCCTGCTGTCTTTGCCCAGCTTGGACACCAGAAGCAGCCTGAGTTCTGCCCTCTGCCCTGCACAAAGGCTGGAGGACTTTTAGCAGGTTGCTTTCTTCTCCAGAAGTCCAGGCCCTAACCTAATCCTTAGCAAGGGCTCTGGTCCCTAACTCCTACATCCAGTGCATGGCAACAAAGGTAAATTCTCCTGTACAGCTTTGGAGAAGCCTCTCTAAAATAGTTCTTCCTGGGTCACACAGAAGAAACAGCACGGCATCGACCCCAGGGCTCTGCTTCAGCATTGGCTGGAAGATCGTTGGCTTCAATGTTATAGACAGCTAAGCACTCTAATCAATAAAGGTTGAAAAGAAAAAAAAAAACAGGTGGTTTCTAATCCTATAAAAACTAAATGCTGATACCGTGTAGAAGTCCCCGAGAACTCCACATCCCTACTGCTGCTTGGCAATTCAGAATTCTGTCTTCCTCATGGGCCATGCGGATGTTTCCGTTCTCTGCGGCTGTCCTGTTCTTTAAGTCTCAGGCAGAGATTCCTAATGAACCCTGTTGTTCCCGGAGCATTTTGCTCCTCTCTTTTCTGGGGAGTCAAAACTACAATTCAGAGAGCAGTTTCTGGCCACTCCTCCTGCCCATAGAATCGCAAAGGCCTGCAGGCCTGTGTAACTGTGGCAGAGAGCTTGTGGGAGAGGTCCGTGGAAGGTGCATCTGTCCTCATGCAGACTCTACTGGTTGAGTCTGTAGCACACGCTGTAACACACACGAGTGCTGTAACACACGCTGCTGAATCTTATTTTTGCCATGGGCCTCAGTTTCCCTGGCCTCTGAGTGATTAAGTACACCTGATAGAGGGGATGAAAACCCTTTGGGGGTCCCTGCCTGGCCTATACCCGTCTCTCTTGGAATGTCCCCTCTGACCCTTGTGTGAACTCTGTGACAAGTCCTCAGCCCCAGCTTGGGACAAGAAGGCCAATCCCATTAGCTGAGCAGTGACCAGTCTCTCTCTCCTTCTCTCTTTCCAGAATCTGAGATCCACCCAGACTAGGGTCAATCCATGGTAGGTGCATGCACCTGTGTGGACATGTCAAGAGGGCACCATGTATGGGCCGAATTTTGGAGAACAGGTAAGTTGAGTAAGCAGAAACCACAAGTGTAGGAGGATGTCAGAGATAGGAGGAAGAAATAGGCAGAAACAGGCAACACGAGAGGGTCGCTGGAGGCCCAGATGGGACTGCCAGAGTGACCTGGCCCACTCAGAACTAAACCTTTGCCTGAACCTCTCTGGTCTACCTCCTCTAATTTTGCTTCAGTGGGTGGCCCCAGGAGCTAAATGTGAATCCAGGGGCATTTGGGCTTATCTAGAGGGCGTTTTTGTTGTTGTTTCTGTTTTGTTTTTCCTTCAAGTTCTTGCCTTTTTGTTTCTCTTAAAAAATGAATGGGGGTGACGGGCTTTTATCCTAGAATAGACCTATGCTTAATAAAAAGTGTTTCTCAAAAAATATAAAGAATTTTCATACCCCCCAAAACCACTGAAATTTTTTTATAAAGAATTTTCGGAATTGAGCCGATGTCACCAATCTGGTGGGTTCTGAAATCCTAACAGACTAACCGCAGGTTGAGAACCAAGGCTCTCATGCTCTCCAGCTCTCTGATGCTGCAGATGAGAGACAAGAATCCTAAAGGAACGCAGGGCCTTTCTTCTTCGCACCTTGCTGTCCATTTTCTAAACTGAAAAATGAGGTTTGGTGGGACTCACAGCCCTGCAACGAAGATTCTGAAGCCGAATGTGAATAAAGCGTTTACTAAAGCGCCTTAAAAAACGGGCCGCGGGAGGGGCACAGGGCTTCTCCCTGGTGATACTTCCCTGATCCCGCACCGCGGCCCACGCGCTGTCCTCCGCGCTCCGCCCTCCGCTCCCCACCGCTCCCCACCGCTCCCCACCCCACCCCACCCCACCCCACCCCCAGGTCCTTCCCTCCCCGGAGCTGAGAACCATAGCTCCGGCCCCGACCGGAAGCCCCACCCCACCGCCGGGGACGCGGCCTCGGGAGTGCTCACGTTGGCAGCCCGGGCATCCCCGCTGCGCTCCGCTCCCCGCACCGGTAACCCGCGCCAACCTTGCCGCCCACCCGGGGTCGTAGCGGGCGAGATTTCCGAGCTCCGGACGCTCTTGCGGCTCTGCTCAGCCCTGACTCCAGCAGGCCCGCGTCGGCTGCCCCGCCCGTTTCTGGAACCTTTGGTTCCGGCGCTCGGACTTGGGGGAACTTAGGAGGGTGGTGGTGGGGTTTCTGATGCTTTGCGTTTTCTGCGGGGTTTGGGCAGTCAATGGAGAAACCCGGAACAGAAGTCCGTGGTGTTTTCAGGGACAGGGAGTGGAACCTCAGGCGCCTGCGAGCCCCCTGAGGGTTTAGGCGGCCCTCCTTGGCGGGATGACTGGCGCCGGTAGGCTGAGAGAGCCCGGGGCCTGCCTCCACCCCTAGGGGTGCCGTAGGCTCCTGGGGTCCGAGTCTCCGCCCTGCCCCACCGCTTCTCACAAAACCCCTCCACCTCCCTGAGGAGCGCCCGTCTACCCACCTTCTGGTTCCCAGCCTTCGGGCCGCTCCTATTTACCATAGTGTTTATTTATCCTGGTTATCGGTCAGAGTTTTTCTGACCTTCTCTACTCTGGAATAGGGTCCAGAGGAGTCGTGAGGGAAAATTATTAGAATATAAAATCCCAGGAGTCACGTAGTCCGGGTCTGCGTCCCATGCTTGAAGGCCCCACAGAGCAGCCCAACAAACAGCACTTGGTTTTCTTCTTCAACCTCGCCACCTCCTGTGGTTGCTGTTTCCGCCTCTGGCTTACATTGAACCCAACCATGTGTATTTCTCTTTAGCTTTGCTCCATTGGCATGGGAATGCTGCCCCTGGAGGGCATTGGACAGAACAGAGACAGTCCTGTTGCGTGAGGGGCATGGGTCTGTGCTAATGAGGCCAGCTCCTTCCATGACCTGCTCAGAGCCCCGCGCCAGCCCCTCTGTCCTCTGTTGCTGGACAGTTGTTCCATATCCTCCTTCCCAGTGCCCCAGGTGTGATATTCCTTCCACCCAGGGAAGGGCATTCCAAAAATTCTTTTGCTGTGCCTTACTGCCCTGCTTGCTCCTGCCCTCACTCCTGCGACGGGTTCTTTGGGCTAAGGCGTAGCATTTAAGTCTGGTCCTATGAAGGCCGTCTTTCTGTTATGCCAGGGTCTTGGGCAGTTTGCGTTGGCTCTAACTCTTAAAACAGAATTGCAGAAATTCCTCTCTTTATTGAGCACCGCTAACACCTGCCCCCCAACCCTGGTTCTGTTTTGTGAAATACTGTCTGCTTTGCTTATCCACTGCAGTTAACTTTTGGAGTTAGCCAGATTTCATCTCTTTGACATGGACTTCCACATGGGGTGACCTTGTGTCCTAGGTTGCCAGAGACAGTTCTGGCTTATACCATTGTCCCAGCATAATCACTTTCAAAAGATTCATGGTTTGTATGATCAAGCTTGTCTCTGTCTCTAAGTTAGATACACTTATATTTGTAGGTAAGAGAGTGGCATGTGGCAGCCCACGTGAGACTTGCACTTGGGCCCATAGATGTCAGAGCCACAGACTAGGAAATGAGAATTCCTCCAGGTCAGTGCTCATAGGCCTCATGTAGGTAGAGAGCTTTGGGTGGCTTTGCCCTTAGAGGGCAGGGGTTCCCTTCCCACCCTGGCACAGAAAGTCCAAACTAATACTGAGGGCTATGTCTTGTCAAATTCATCCCCAGAGTTACTCTGGGGCTTCGAAGCCAGTGCCCCTAAATTCACTGTCATGATCCAGAGGAAGGTGTTCAGAGTTCAAGCCCAGCTCCTTGACATGGCATCTGGCTCCTGGGAAAGTAACCGATGTGGAAGTGTGACCAGAGTTAGGCCTAAGGTGCCCTGGGCTTCCCCAGGAACCAGAGAACTCAGTCCATGCAGGGCCAGTTAGTTTTAAAGACTGCATGTCAGCACTTGTAACTGTCATAGGATTAGGCTAAGAGGGAGAACACTGGTTATCCACTAGGATGACCAACCATCTTAGTTTGCCTGGGATTGAGGGGTTTCCTAGGACATGGGACTTGCAGTTTTAAGACCAGAAAACTCCTGGGCGAACTGGGATAAGTTGGTCACCCTCTTCTCAACCCTGGCTGCATGTTAGACTCTCTTGAGGAGGCTCTTATTTAGAGTCTAATTTAATTGATTCAGGTAGTTGTTTTTTTTTTTTTTTTTAACGCTCTCAAGTTGATGCCAACAGGCTACCAGAGTTGAGAACTACTAGGCTGTAGACAGTGTTTCCAATAACCATTGAAGGTGTTTGGTTTTTGAGCAGAAGTGGTTCCAGACATCCCTGACAGGGGTGTATAACTCTGTGTGTTGGCCTTTTACCTTAGCAAGAGAGGTATCAAGCTGGTAGTTGCCTACTATTGCTATTATCTGTCCCCACCCCCAGGCCGCCTTTCTCACTGGTGAGGACCAAGCTTTCTCTTTTCCAGGCATGCTCCGATACCTTCTCCCTCAAGACAGGAGGTCAGTGGAATAGCCTCATTTTGATTGATGGAATCATGATTTACACGGTTGCAGATGAAGCTGGCATGAGACTTGAGACAGGACTGCCATCTCTAGGTCTGGGACATATGCCCCAGAGAGTGGTGGTCCAGAGGCTAGCTGTGAGACTGTGTGTGCTTTGGCTTTGCCCCATGGGGTGTGGGAGCTTGGAGACCAGGTGCCTCTGGGACTGTCCTCTCTGCAGGCCTCCAGGATCATGTGGTACGTCAGCACCAGGGGCATAGCCCCACGGGTCAACTTTGAGGGGGCCCTCTTCTCTGGCTATGCACCCGATGGAGGCCTCTTTATGCCGGAAGAGCTCCCACAGTTGGACAGAGAGACCCTGTGCCAGTGGAGCACACTCTCCTATCCTGGCCTGGTGAAGGAGCTGTGTGCCCTCTTCATCGGCTCTGAGCTCATTCCAAAAGATGACTTAAATGGTGAGTGCTCCCACCTCTACTTCCACTCCTCCAGCCCCTGCCAGCTCAGTCTACAGAATTGCAAATCCATCACCAAACCACTAGGAAGTCTCTAGTCACGTTTCTCAAACTTTCTTTCTTTTCCTGACTCTAGAATCCCAGAATTGAAAATATTCTGAAAGATTTCATCCTTTCTCCAGGAAGATGAATGTTGACATTTTCTTCATTCTTTCTTTCTCTTTCTTTCTCCCTCCCTTCCCTCCCTCCCTCCCTCCCTCCCTCCCTCCCTCCCTCCCTCCCTCCCTTCCTTCCTTCCTTCCTTCCTTCCTTCCTTCCTTCCTTCCTTCCTTCCTTCCTTCCTTCCTTCCTCTCTCTCTCTCTTTCTGTCTTTCAAAAAACCTCTTCAACACTAGGGATTTTAGAATCATCTTGAGTGACTTGAACGTTGAGGTGTTTCCTTCCTGCACATAAAGCACCCAGACCCCCAAATTGCTCTTTTATTTTTTGAATGTTAATTCCAGAAGGGACTTCAAGACTGTCCCGGACCAGCTTGTCTTAAGCTATACTGTGCCTATGGATTCCCTCCGGGATCTTGTTAAAAACCAAATTCTGATTCAGTGGGTCTGGCATAGGAGTGAGAATTCTGCATTTCTGTCAGATGTCCGAATAATACTACACTACTGGTCCATGAGCCACACTTGAAACAGCAAGAACAAAATCCATAATGTAATGGTGGTGGTTTGGGGTTGGGGAAGAGAAAGGACCACTTAAAATGCAGTCTGATGACCAGCAGTAATGGCATTGCTTGGGCATTTGTTGGAAATCCGGGACTGCTTCAGATTGACTGAACCAGCCTGCTTTTTAACAAGATCCCAGGTGCTTGGTTTGCCAGTGACAGTTTGAGAAGCTCTGCTCTAGGACTGCTCCAGTCCTGCCTTAGGGAGGGCTGTATATCAGCCATCCAAAAGCTCTGGCGTCACAGGTGCGAGATTTAGTAATGCAACAAACAAACAAAAAGCTTCCTATCTTTAAGAAGGAGCATTAGGGCTGGGCGCGGTGGCTCACGCCTGTAATTCCAGCACTTTGGGAGGCCGAGGCGGGCGGATCACAAGGTCAGGAGATCGAGACCACAGTGAAACCCCGTCTCTACTAAAAATACAAAAATTAGCCGGGCGCGGTTGTGGGCGCCTGTAGTCCAGCTACTCGGGAGGCTGAGGCAGGAGAATGGCGTGAACCCGGGAGGCGGAGCTTGCAGTGAGCCGAGATCGCGCCACTGCACTCCAGCCTGGGCGACAGAGCGAGACTCCGTCTCAAAAAAAAAAATGAAGGAGCATTAGATGGGATGTGACATTGATGTGTTATGTAGCTATTTAATTGACCCCTGATTGGAATACATGCTCACGAGACAGTCAAACAATGAGGAAGTATAAAAAATGAAAAAGTCTTCTAGCACCAATCCTGGTCTCTGAGGAAATCACTATAAGGAATCTGCGAAAGTTTGGTGTATGTTTTCCCAGATTTTTTTCTAGGTTTATACAATTGGATTCAAAAATGGTATCATTTAAGATGAAGATTTTTGGCCTTTTAGTAGCAGGAGTTGGAAACTTTTATCTTCAGAGACTGAGAGGGAACTTGAGAAAGAGACCAGGCCCCTCATTGGCTCTCCACCCCACTACCCTCACAGATCTGATCGACCGAGCCTTCAGCAGATTCCGTCACAGAGAGGTGGTCCATCTGTCCAGGTTGAGGAACGGGCTGAACGTGTTGGAGCTGTGGCATGGTGTCACATATGCATTTAAGGACCTGTCCCTGTCCTGCACAGCACAGTTCCTGCAGTACTTCCTGGAGAAGAGGGAGAAGCACGTCACTGTGGTTGTAGGTGTGTTTTGGGGCACGAACCCGGAATACCTGAGTGCTGTGACTGTAGGGTGTCCACCTATGGGATGCTGTTCATGGAGCCACTCAGGGACTGTGGTACTGGTTCTTCCAGAGCAAGGTTCCTAACCTTTTCTGGTGCCATAGACCCCTTTGCCAGGCTGATGGAGGCTATGGAACTTCCTCAGAGTAACGTTTGAAGGGCACAAAATGCTTAAGATGATGTGGTTCACAAGTTCACTGATGTCCTGAATTTTATCCGTGGATCCATGGACCCTATGTGGAGTGCTAGGTTCATATCCTCCAAGTATTTGAAGTAGTTGTTGCTATAGTTGACAACAGTGCTTTGGGGACCCTTTCTTTCCTTGTTCATTCCCTTTGTTCTAAAGGGGGAGGGTTATCCTTTCTTCCCGTCCAGGAACGTCTGGGGACACAGGAAGTGCTGCCATTGAGAGTGTTCAAGGGGCAAAGAACGTGGACATTATCGTTCTACTGCCCAAAGGTCACTGCACAAAGATTCAGGAGCTCCAGATGACAACGGTGCTGAAGGAGAACGTACATGTGTTTGGAGGTGTGTGCTGAGGCAGAGGCTCTAGGGACAGTGCAGCCCTGCCTTACTTGGGTTAGCTTTGGGAGATGGGCTGGAACAAAACTGCACAATTGGGTAACTGTCTTCCTTTCATCAGTCATATTTGAGGTTGGTGTATATGCCTTGGCTCAGCTCTGGGCAGGGTTCTGGCTACACAGTAAACTATTGGAGGTGACAGATGCATAAACTGATACTAACAGTACAGCACACTAAGTACGGATTGAAAACCATATCCCAAAAAATGCCACCTCCATGCATGTCCAACCTGCAAGTGTCATGTATGTCAGCAGCCATGCAGAGTCATAACCTGAGCCAAATGACTTGGGTTTTGTTCCAAGACTCTGAAGTTTAGAGGACACCAACATGTTAAGTAATTATTTTAAGAGAATGTGTTGCCAGGTGCGGTGACTCACGCCTGTAATTCCAGCACTTTGAGAAGTCAAAGTGGGTGGATCGCTTCAGCCCAGGAGTTTGAGACCAGCCTGGGCAACATGGCAAAACCTTGCCTCTATAAAAAATACAAAAATTAGCCGGGCTTGATGGTGTGCACCTATAGTCCCAGCTACTCCAAAGGCTGAGATGGGAGGATCGCTTAAGCCCAGAAGGCTGCAGTGACTCAGGATCATGCCATAGCATTGCAGCCTGGGCAACAGAGTGAGACCCTGTCAAAAAAAAAAAAAAAAAGATAATGTGTCATTATATGTTGACGGTTCCTGCTGTTCTTTACAGTATGGGAACAACTAAGCCATGCACTAGTTATCTGGTCTAAATATTTAAAATAGGGACCAGTGGTACCCACCACTGGTTATACTCCTACCTGAGTCACATCATGAGAATCACAGCATTTTGTGCTTGGAGAAAGGCAAAAGCCATCTTTTTTAATATCAGGCCATCTATTCCTAATGGATTTAATCATTATAGGGATTGGGAGTGGAGAAAGATGGGGCGAGTGTGGGTGGAGCTGTACATTTTTATTTTTACCTCTCACACCCTACTGGACCCCAGGTAGCTGTAAGGTGGGGACTTGGATTAAGTTTTGGCCTGGGTGGGCTGTGGCCTCGGGCACGCTTTCCAGGAGGCCTGGCTTAGTTTGGTCACTCACCTGACAGAACAGCAAGTGTGATGGCAGAGAATGTTCCTTCTACAACTGTCCTGGCTTCTTATCATCATCCTGTAGAGGTTATTTTTGTATAACATCAGCTGTGACAAGGAGCAAAAGCACAGTGAAAGCAAACTTATCCAAAGGAATAGCATAATATCCTTTGTCAGTTTGTTCAAGAGCAAGCAAACTGCCCCTCTGCTCTGTTCTTTAGCAAGTGCATACACTTGCCAGTGAAAAGTCCATGCTAATGCAGGTGTTGACGTCGTCTTACACATTTGTCTTGCTAATTGCTCATATTTGGCTGCATTTTCCCGCAGTTGTTGCAAGACTTCAATGCACAAGATTCAGGCTCCTGAGGGTCCTTGTTATACCCCAAGCACCAAAATTGCTAGTTATGGATCTAGGACTGTTTTTTCCTAGAATCAAAGCAGAGAATAGCATTTTGTGCCTCTGTCCTGCCTCCTCCTCCCTTTTTTTCTTTTTTGTATGCAGACCTAAGGGTGTGACTGAAAGCTCCATTCCTGACTTGTGGATTGGAGAACAGTGCTCAAGTGTAAAGTAATGGTGGGAGTGCGGAATCTGATGAATGTATCAAGTCATTAAATCTGGACCTGAAGGGAGTGTTTTGTTGTGTACATGTTGAAGAAAATCAGAAACTAAGGCAGCAGGCTTCACAGAAATCAGTTTTGTTTATAAATGGCACTATTCAGATGCTTTCTTTCCTTTCTAGAGCTTTCTGGTTTGGTTTTAAGGAGGATGTGTGTTAGTTCAGGATGTAACAGCAAATATGTATTTTTCCGTAGACTGGTAAGCTTAGCAAGTAGGGATGGACCACTTAGATTATTGCGTGTGGACAGTTGGTTTATAAAGTCATTGATTTCCATGTACATTGTATACTTGGTTCTTCTTAAGCACAGAATAATCAGCAGGTGCTAGGTATTTATTAATTACATTATTTGGGATGCTTTTGGCTAGAAGTAGCAAAAAATTCAACTCAGACCAGCTTAAACAAGAATATTTTCCAGCTTCATAACTGGAAGGCCAGAGGTGGAGTGGGCTCCCAGTTGCTTCATTCAGTGACTGACACTGCTCTCAGGAACCCAGGTCCTTCCCATCCTCTGCTCTGCCCTCCTCAGTCCTAAGGCTCCTTCCTCTTGTGGTCATATGGTGTTTCCTTGAGGTAACCAGGTCTCTCCCTTCCTGTTGCTCTTTCCTAAAAGCAGTGAATCTTTTCTTAGAACTCAGCAAACACGTCTTTGTGGTTCACTGACCTGAATTTATTCACATGCTCATTCTGGAGCCAACCCTGACCCCATGAGAATACCAGGCACTGATTGGCTTGGTCCTGGCAAAGGAATGGAATCACCATGACGGGCCCTGGCCATTCTGGATACACAAGGGGATCTAGAGTCAGTCCCCCAGCTCCATTGCTGCTACACAGTGTTGAAGGGCAGAATGGTTAGCACCTTTAATGCCTTCTCTGGCACATTTCCCAGTAAAGTTCACCCCTCTCCCTTCCAAGTGTAGATTCAATGGGGACATACTCGGGTATCAGATAAGAAATCAATATTGGCTTGATTGCTCATTGAGCTAGATGGGGGATATAACTTGTATTAGTGGACAATTCACCATAAATTTATCCAGTAATTCACTCATAAATTACACTGATGTACACACCCAGTTTCATGGAGGGGAAGTTCTGTCCATGTAATCTTACCTGCCATATAGTAGCAGAGAGCAGAACACCTACCCTGTGACCTAATGGGGGCAGAGGACAGACCACGGGGGAATGTTGGCTGTTTCCACCCTGGGCCCTGGTAGAGGACTGTGGAGGAAAGGCTATGACTCTCATCATTTTCCAGTCAGGCACACGGTTCCTCGTCTGCGGAAGAGTGGGGGAAGTGGGTAGGGATTACAAAGAGAAATTTTCCCAGGATCCCAGAAGGTTGACATTTGCTATCTTATTTTAGATAATGGTAGAAACATTGGAACTGGTTCTGGCTCCCCATTCTGTTCTAAGCTAGGGCAGATATTTAGGAACACAAGCATCGGAGGCATGGTTTCTGTCCTTGAGGAGCTTAATATTGAGTCTAGAAAGTGAGGTCAAGTTACGTGAAAGTAAAGAAACCTAGGCTACGCGAAGGTCCCAGGAGGATGGGCTCAGCCTGCGAGGGCTGTCGCAGGCGGGTGCTGACCTCCTGGGGGCTCTACATGCTCCTGACAGCTGCCCTCTCCTCTTGCCCGGGCAGTGGAGGGAAACAGCGATGAGCTCGATGAGCCGATCAAGACTGTGTTTGCCGACGTGGCTTTTGTCAAGAAGCACAATCTGATGAGCCTGAATTCGATCAACTGGTCCCGGGTCCTGGTGCAGATGGCCCACCACTTCTTTGCTTACTTCCAGTGTACGCCATCCTTGGACACGCATCCCCTACCCCTGGTGGAGGTGGTTGTGCCAACAGGGGCTGCCGGTAACCTTGCAGGTAAGGAGTCCCCGGGGCACAAATGGGCTTTCCAGAAAAATACCTGCGGCCCCAGTCCTTCTAGCTGCCTTTTGGCTGCAACTGTGAGGAGAAAGAAGGTGGAGTCCCAGTTCTGAAGGTGATGGGAAACCCCACAGAAGCAGCTCCCAGAAGATTTCCCCTGTCATTGCCTGGGGCAGCATCCTGGGCTTCTGCTGCCAGCAGCAGAGGGTGATGGCTTAACCCTGCATGCTCCTGCAGCCTCACCTGATGTGCTCGCCGGCTCAGCAGAGTGTGGAGAGGCAAGGTCAAGGGTCAGCCGCTGTGCCTGGCTGGCAGTGCCCTCAATCAGAAATGTGGACTTTGCTCCCAACCCTGGCCAGCTACCCGATGTGAGGGCAAGCGGCTTGACTGGCACGTGTGTTCCCATTCCTGGATGCACTACCCTGACCCCATGTGATGTGGAAAGAGTTCTGGACTTGGGGTTCTGGCCCCAGTTCTGTCCTTTACTAGCTGAGAGGCTGTGGAGCAGTCCTTTAGACTCAACCTTTGAGCTATAAAATGAGATTGTATCACTCATCATATCTCCCAGGACTGCCTCAATGAACGAATAAGATTCCTGTGTACATGCAGACTTTGTAAGGGCAAAGTGCTGTACAGCTGTGTAGCATTCAAATCATTTTATCTAATCACTAATATTTATCAAGCACTTAGTATGCAACTGGCACTGCTCTAAATGCTTTTCACATAGGAACTCATTTATCCACCTGTGGAGAAGACACTTTCCATTTTATAATGAGGAAACAAAGGCACAGAGAAAGGAGTCATGCCCTGGTTACGCAGCTGGGCCAGGAGTGCGACCCAGGCAGTCTGGCTGCAGAGCTGGCGAGGCTACGGGAATTACTGTTCCTGATAGTTCCAGCAATGCCATTGGTTCTGATGAGCACCAAGGACGGCCTAGCTGAGAGCACAGAAGCATCTGAGTGGTTAGGAAGCCACTGGGGGAGGTGTGCAGATGTGGCCCAGGTGTTGGTTGGGTGGGGCTTCCTGACTTCTGCCACTGAAAGAAGGGTGGAGAGAACAGTGGGCTGGCAGGCAAGGAGGGAATAGCTTCTTTGCCACTCATGGGGTAAAGCCCACCATGCTCCCCATTCCCATCACCCTCCAGTTAGTGATGCACCGAGTTGTGCAGCCAGTGGCCCTCTGCAGCCCAGAGCCTACCACAGTGCTCGATACAAAATAAACACGTGACCAACGTTTCCTGAGGGCGTTCTTATCCACCTTTGCTCTGTCAGGAACCAACTCTTTGGCTTTAAGACCCTGGACCTTCCTGAGCCTCCATTTCTCCCCTGTCAGGCAAGGATATCATGATGTTCTCATGAGGACCAGGTGAAATAAGAAAGAGAAAGTTGAGATCAGTAGTTCAAGACCAGCCTGGCCAACATGGTGAAACCCCATCTCTACTAAAAATACAAAAATTAGCCAAGTGTGGGGGCGCACGCCTGTAATCCCGGTCACTTGGGAGGCGGAGGCAGGAGAACCGTTTGAACCTGGGAGATGGAGGTTGTAGTGAGCTGAAATTGTGCCACTGCACTCCAGCCTGGGCAACAGAGAGAGACTCCGTCTCAAAAAAAAAAAAAAAAAAAAAAAGAATGAGAAAGCGTTTTGCCAGGTTAACAGTGATGTTGGATTGTGTGGTTGTCCCTAACTCCCCTTAGCTACTCACCAGAGATAAACTGCTCATGAAAGCACCATATGTAAAACCTTCCTAAATGGTGTCACATGTCCGGGCTCTACACCTCTTAAAGGGAGGAATTCCTTGCTTGTTCTGTGCAAACAAGAACTGCTGTTGGGGTGGACTGAGGGTGCTGCTCTGGCCTCCCCTGATGCCTGTGCAGGGAGAGTAGTCTGGGAGGCTGAGTCGAGGGAGGGCATGTGCTCAGGACTTAGGCATATTTTGAATCCTGACTCTGACACTTAACAGGCTTCAGAAAGGTCACTTTGACCTCTTGGAACTTTCATTTCCTCTTCCAAAAATTGGTGTTTTACGGTAGTCAGCCATCTATGAAATACTTTGGCCCCTGGGAGGGGCTGACACATAGAACAGCCTCAGGGCATGGTGATGTGCTCCTAGTCATCCTCACACTCGCTCTCTCTCTCTGTGTGTGTGTGTGTCTGAAACAGGCTTATTGCTAGATGATTCACATACCATTCACACATTTTAAGTGTATGATTCAGTGGTTTTTAGTATAATATATTCACAGACTTATGCAACTATCACCATAACCAATTTTGGAATGTTTACGTCACCCTAAAAAGAAACCCTGTACCCATTAGCAGTCACTCCTCACTTTTCCTTAGACCACCTCCTTCGCCAGCCCTTGGCAGCCACGAATCTATTTTGTTTCTCTATATAGATTTTCCTATTCTAGATATTTTCTATAAAAGGAATCATACAGTGTGTGGTCTTTTGTGCCTGGCTTCTTTCCCCTAGCATAATGTTTTCAAGGTTCATTCGTGTTGTATCATGTATCAGTACTTTTTCAATTGTATGTATATACCATACAGCGGTATATTTTGTTTATGAGTTTATCAGCTGATAGATATTTGGATTGTTTTAACACAGCTATTATGAATAATGCTGCAGTGAACGTTTGTGTATAAGTTTTCATGTGACCATATATTTTATTTCTTTTGGATATATAACTAGGAGTGGAATTTCTGTTATATGATAACTCTATGTTTAATATTTTAAGGAACTGACAGACTTCAGTTTTCCAAAGTGGCTGCACCATTTTGTGTCACCACCAGCAATGTAGGAATTTTCCAATTTCTCCACATCCTCACCAACACTTTTTATTATCTGTCTTTTTGATTCTAGCATCCTAGAGGGTGTGAAGTAATAGCTCATGGTTTTTGTTTATATTTCCTTCACGACTAATGATGTTGAACATCTTTTCCTGTGCTCATTGGCCATCTGTATGTCTTCTTTGAAGGAATGCCTGTTCTTTTGCCCATTTTATTATTATTATTATACTTTAAGTTCTAGGGTACATGTGCACAATGTGCAGGTTTGTTACATATGTATACATGTGCCATGTTGGTGTGCTGCACCCATTAACTCGTCATTTACATTAGGTATATCTCCTAATGCTATCCCTCCCCCTTCCCCCTTCCCCACAATAGGCCCCAGTGTGTGATGTTCCCCTTTCTGTGTCCAAGTGATCTCATTGTTCAGTTCCCACCTATGAGTGAGAACAAGCAGTGTTTGGTTTTCTGTTCTTGTGATAGTTTGCTGAGAATGATGGTTTCCAGCTGCATCCATGTCCCTACAAAGGACACGAACTCATCCTTTTTTACGGCCGCATAGTATTCCATGGTGTATATGTGCCACATTTTCTTAATCCAGTCTGGCACTGATGGACATTTGCTTTTGCCCATTTTTTAATTCGGTTATTTGTATTTTTATTGTTGAATTGCAACAGTTCTTTATATATTCTGGATACAATCCCTTATTAGATATATGAATTGCATTTTTTCCCCGTTCTGTGAGTTGCCTTTTCATTTTCTTGATAGTGTCCTTTTTAAAGCAGAAAAGCTTCAAAAAGCACAAAAGTTTCTTAATTTTGATGAAGCCCAATTTACTTTTTTCTTTTGTTTCTAAAAAGCCATTGTTCTCTTCCTCTCTTGTCTTAAGCTGGGTACATTGCTCAGAAGATAGGCCTGCCCATCCGTCTGGTCGTGGTAGTGAACCGCAATGACATCATCCACAGGACTGTCCAGCAGGGAGACTTCTCTCTGTCTGAGGCTGTTAAATCAACCTTGGCATCAGCTATGGACATTCAGGTAGGCCTGGGGGAGGTGTGCAGATCCGGCCCAGGTGTTGGTTAGGTGGGGCTGGATGGGGCTGAGATCAGTGTGGACCTGAAAGTGACTTTCTGCCCAGGTGCCCTACAACATGGAGAGGGTATTCTGGCTACTCTCTGGCTGTGACAGCCAGGTGACAAGAGCCCTCATGGAGCAGTTTGAAAGGACCCAAAGTGTGAATCTGCCCAAGGAACTGCACAGCAAGGTCAGTCACTGCCCACACACCACAGAGAAAGGAAAGGGTACAGCCACATAGCAGACTTGGGGTTTGGAAGTCTAGTCAAGGGAAGAGGACACCTGTTTCTTGAGCACCTGCTATGAGCCCGTCACTTTTACTGACGCTTTACGTGGAACAATTTATTGAATGAGGAGAGGTAATAGAGAACATAGTTTAGAGTCAAATGGGCTCAATCCCAAGTGAGCGCTGAGACGCTGGGCCAGTTTCCTAAACTCTGTCCCTCAGTTCCTTCATCTATAAAATGGCGATAGTAAGAATGCCTACCTCATAGAGTTGTTGTGAGATTTAAGTCAAATAATATATGTGAAGCACTTTGCATACTTCCTGGTAATATATGGCTTGATATATTAACTTATTTTTACTTATTATTGTTGTTAATTTCCAATAATACTGTCAACCGGAAGCCATTTTGCCCATCCAGTATGAACACAGACCATTGTTTCCGTTGAGCTCTTCCTTTCTTCCTTTTCCCTCCTCTCTCTTTCCTCCCTCCCTCTCCTTCGTCCCTCTCTCACCTTCCTCCCTCCCTCTCTCCTTCCTCCTTTCCTTCTTACTTTCTTTTTTCTTTCCCTCCCTCCTTCCCTTTCTCTGTCTTATTTTTCTTGGAAAAGGAGAAATTTTATTCCCTTGGAATGGTAGGAATCTAATTGGGAAGGATTGTTTTTATTTTAATGCAACGTGGTGATGGTACTTATTCTGTGTTTAAAAAAAAAAAAAAAAAAAGGATTTCTGAAGCTGCCTTTAATTTTCTCTACCACATTCCCACTGAGTGGCCATCCAGACTGTGCATACCTCCAGTGACCAGACCCTCACTACCTCACACCAGCTCTCACCATTACAAAAGTCTTTACGTTGAGCTAGAATCTGCTCCTTCTAGCTTACACAGTCTGATTCTACATCTCAGTGTTTCCAGTATTTAGAGAATCCTCATTTACCAGGTTAGTCTTCCTACTTCCTTTAGTGGTCCCTTGCATGACGTAATTTTGCATGGTCAATATCCACCTTAAAGTGTTGTTTTCCAAGTTGGATGCAGTTCTCTAGGCTGAGCCATACCAATGCAGACTGGAGTGGAATTTCGGCCTTCTGGAATCTGTACTTCTTTTGATGTACCCAAAGATCAATTTATTTGGTTAATGGTTTGACATTCACATTCCTTCTCCTCATATAAATGAGGTGCTCCATGAAGACAGGCACCATACCCCCCACTCCTTCATTCTCTCTCTGGCTATACACTTGCTGCAATGGCATTCATATTATATATCTACTGTGAGCCAGGAACTGTACTGGGTGCTAGAAACACAAAGACAAGTAAAATACATTCATTGCCGCCTGGGAACCCTCATTCACAGCAGGTAGCTGTATGAATATCTGGAGGCTGAGGCAGGTGGATCGTTTGAGGTCAGGAGTTTGAGACCAGCTTTGCCAGCACGGTGAAACTCCATCTCTACTAAAAAAAAAACAAACAAAACTTAGCTGGGCATGGTGGCACATGCCTATAAATCCCAGCTACTTGGGAGGCTGAGACAGGAGAACTGCTTGAACTCGGGAGGTGGAGGTTGCGGTGAGCCAAGATCGTGTCACAGTACTCCAGCCTGGGTAGACAGAGACTTGGTGTCTCAAAAAAAGAAAAGAAAAAGAGAAAATCTATGATACTCTATGATCCCTATTGCAGTCAAGTATATGCAGGGTGTTTGGTGTATTATAAGCATACAATACATTTTCAGAAGATGATCAAATAAACCAAACACACTGAGGGAGCACAGACAAGGCAGTCTTCCTCTGTCCGAAGGAAGTGGGGAGGGCTTCCTGGAGGAGGTGCTCCGTGAGCTGAATAGCAACTGATAGGAAGGAGGTGTGCCAGCAACCAAGCTGCCCGGAGCCTTCTGGCTGTGGCAAGTTGTTGAACAAATCTTGATTTGTTGATTTGCTGATTAGGAGCCAAATCCCGACTAAATGGATTGACATAAAACTCAAATGTATCCTTCCTCCAAGCAGAGTGAGTCAGCTCAAAACTGGGAGGCCGGATTTTTACTGTGAGCCACGTCTGAGCCATTGGGTCTGAATGTCCCATTGGATCCCTGGGGTTTGTGTGGGTCTGTGGTGGAGAGTGGGGTTTTGTCATCTTTCCCTGCTTTCCCAACATACCTCATCTTTCTGACCTGGGACCCTTCAGCTTTCAGAGGTGGTGACATCCGAGTCAGTGTCTGATGAAGCCATCACCCAGACCATGGGCCGCTGCTGGGATGAGAACCAGTATTTGCTGTGCCCCCACTCGGCGGTGGCCGTGAACTACCATTACCAGCAGATGGACAGGCAGGAGCCCAGGTACAGGCCATGGGGGCTTGGGCCACTGAGGGACCATTTGAATTTCAGGGGCCCTCTTCTTCTCCAAGCGGTGGGAGAGACAGGACTACGAACAAATGGCTGTAATGGAGTGTGATGGGTGCTGTGTGGAACTGTGCCCTGGAAACTGTGGGCCCAGAAGAGGGAACGTGACAGGTATCCCAAGGACAGTCAGGGGCAGAGGAGGTGGCTGAGCTGGCCTCCAACCCGGAAGAGCAGTTTGCCAGGTGGCGTCATTGTAGCGATAAGTTTGAGGTACCAATTTTCTGTGTCTCTGTCTTCCATACCCCACCCTATCCCTAACCTTCCACTGTTTCTTCTCCTTCCTCCTCCACCTTCTCCTTTCCCATCCCTCTATTCTCTCACTGTCCTCCTGCTGCCACCTGCCCCCATCCCCAGCAGCACTCCCCGGTGCTGCCTTGCCCCTGCCTCTGCAGCCAAGTTCCCGGAAGCTGTCCTGGCTGCTGGCCTGACCCCTGAGACTCCTGCAGAGATCGTAGCCCTGGAGCACAAGGAGACACGCTGCACCCCGATGCGGAGAGGTGACAACTGGACCCTGATGCTTCAGGACACCATTGAGGACCTTAGCCGACGGTGGAGGGGTCATGCCCTCAACGCCTCCCAGTAGCCTGGCTGGAGGTGGCTTTCTTTAGGCTTCAGATCCCAGGGAGGTGCACCCTCTGAGCTGCCTTGTGACCCTCCCCATTAAGCATAGGTTAGGAGGTTCCCAGGAGGCTGCTCAGCTGGGTCTGGAGCCAGCTGGCTTTGCTCCGTTCCCTGGCTACTCTGTGCCTGGTCACAGGGAGGCTGAGTGAGGGGCTGTGAACAGTTGCCAGAAGCACCCCCTCCGTCCCTGGCCCACGCGGCAGTGTCTGAGCTGTAGTGAAAGTTTCAGGGCCTGCAGAAGAAGAGCCTTGGGGCACAGGATTGACCATGGCTCCAGGGGTTTAGGACCCCAGACCTGTGAAGGTGGGGGCAGCTCACCACCTTCATGCAGCCTTTATATGCTCTCTGAGCCTTAGCTGATTTGGCCCCCAAAACACATCCAAAGGTTCTAGCCCGCCTTGTCAGAGACTTCCACCCTGCTCACATGTTGGCAATCCCTGGAATAAAATGCTTGTTCTGTGTGATGGAGATGGCACATCCTGTGGGCAGGTCCCTTCCTAGAAGGGCTGCAGGACTGTGGGCAGCCCTGGGGGCCGCTGAGTGGTGGGCTGAGGTGTGTGCGGCATCCCCCTGCTGCCCTGCATTGGCCTAGGCTTGAGGTGCCATGGCCCTGGTGGTGCTGGCATCCATAGAGGTTGAGGTGGGGCTCACCAGATGGAGACCCTGTGGGAAAGCATTGGCATCAATGTGCAAACCGAGTCAAGGCCCTGTTGCTCATACATCACTTGGGATTGAGCCCATTTGACTCAGGTTCCAATCCATTTCATCAGGTTCCAATCCTGTGTGGGTTGAGGAGAGTTTTAGACAAATACGTGAACGGCAACAGAAACCCCATGCCTTGGATGCTGGGGGCCCCTAGGAGGGGAGGGGAGGGGAGGCAGCGTTGGATGGAGGAATATGTTGCCACTAGAGGACGCTGTTGCCGCCACCCGGGGGGCTGCTGTGAAATGACCTAGTGGGCATCTGTCCTCCAGAGTCCCCTTCCCCTGCCTGCCTGAGGTCTGAAGGCGCTGCTCACCAGGTGCGGTCCCTGCCTGGCATTCCCCATCAGAACATCCCAGCCCCGTATCGCCGTGGGACTAAAGGGAAAGGCCTGTAGTGCCCTCTGCTGGAAGACTGGACATCGAGGCACTGCAATCAGTACCCAAAGGGGAGGACAGGGATGCTGGACCCCAGGAAGACAGAAGGAGTGTTCTTAAAGGAGTGACAGTGACTCCTTACCAGCCACGACACTTGGCAGTTTCTGAGACACTTTAACATCCACAGCAGTAGACACTGATGCAGCCCCTGGGGCCACTTACCCATTAGATATGATAGGCCCAATGCTTAGGGGCCACCATTCATTAGAGGCCCATGAAAATGTCTTCATTTCTTCTAAAACCGAAAGAAAATAGTATAATCCAGCTGGGATTTTATTCATCTTTCTTCTAACACAGTTGTACAATAGAATTTTAAGTATTTTTTTATAGAGGAAGACACCCATGAAAGCAAAAGTGCCTAATACCCACAAAAGTTACTATGCAGCCCTGATAGCACCTACTGTGTGGCAGGTGACATTTTACAAAAATTATCTCATTTAATCCTGACAGCAGCGTGTGAAGCAAGTGCTACTGTTTCCCCTGTGTTGCCGGTGAGAACAGAGAACATCCAGACTCTGAGAGACGAGGTAACTTGAGGTAACTTACCAGGGTGGCGGCACGGAACAGAGAGGCCGGAACTTGAATCCAGACCTTGTGGTCTCCAGTTTGGCATGTAGTTCTCCTCACACCGCCTCCTGTGTCAGCGGGCACGTTCTTATGGGGCTTGCCCTGCTGCCTGCCTCCCTCCATCTTTCCCCAGGCCCTGGCCCTGGCCGTGCTCCTGGGTCCGCCCGCCATATTCCTTTCTTGGATGGATCTGGGAGCATGGCTGTGCTTCTCCAGGAGTCCTCCAGGGGCTGCTGCAGGCCTGCTTTCCCGGCCTCTTTAACTGGCACTGGTGCCTGCTGTGGGCGGGCCCATGCAGGTGGCTCCTTCTCCTTTGCTGCCATATTCTGAGGACCTCAGGGCAGGGCCAAGGTCACAGGGAAACCCCATCCCCTGAATGGTTCTGGGACCTATCCAGCTCTGAGAGGCCACCATGCCTGTGAGGGAGGCCAGAAAAAGGCCGCACCAGGCACAGCGCACATTGACAGGAAACCTGAACTGAGGCTACACTGGCCACGGGGAGTCTTGGGGAAATGAGAAGAAGGATGAGAGCAAGATGAAGTCTGGAGAAGTGCCCACCCCGGAACACTAACACACACACACACACACACACACTCACACACTTATGAGCTGAATTGTGTCACTTCCATTATATGTTGAATCCACAGTATCTCTGAATGTAACTGTATTTGGAGATAGGGTCTTTAAAAAGGTAATTAAAATGAAGTCTTAATGCTGGGCCCTAAACCAGAGGTACTGGCGTCCCTTATTTTATAAGAGGAGATTAGGACATAGACATGTGGCACAGAGGGAAGACTGCGTGAAGTCAGAGGAAGAAGGCGGCCATCTGCAAGCCAAGGAGAGAGGCCCCAGAATTAAAGCAACCCTGAGGACACCTCGATCTTAGACTTCCATCCTCTAGAGCTGGGAGGAAATAAATTTCTGTTGTTTAAGTCTCACCCGGTCCTGAGCAGACTAATACACAAACACACACTCCACTTAATGGAAAAAGCAAGGATCTTAGTACCAGATGAAGTGAGAATCAGGGGGGAGTCTTTTCTGAGCCACCCACTTACTGGTAGTGATCACAACTAAGCCTTTTAATCTGTGTGAGCCATGGTTTCCTCATCTGCATCTAACAATACAGATGATCCCTGACTTAAGACTTTGCAGCTTTAGGATGGTGATGGTGTGAAAGCAACACGCATCCAGTAGACTGAGTTCATATGCATTCAGTAGACTTCAGATTTTGATTTTTCCCCAGGCTAACGATATGCAGTATGATAGTCTCTTGTAATGCAGGGCAGCAGCAGTGAGCCCAGCTCCCAGTCAGCCCTGCGATCACGAGGATACATAGCCCATATTCCACCGTGTGCTGTGTTGACAGATGACTTTGCCCAACTGTAGGCTAATGTCAGTGTTCTGAGCACATTTAGGATAGGCTAGGCCAAATGATGATGTTTCTATAGGTTGAGGGTATTAAATGCATTTTCAACTTAGGATATTTTCAACTTACGAAGGGTTTATTGGGATGTAACTATTGTAAGTTGAGGAACAGCTGTACTTACTTTGCTGGTTTGCTTTGAGGATTACGTGAGATGAGATAATGTATTTCCAAGTGCTGGGTAAACTCTCAAATGCCATACAAATGGTTCTTACTATTAACACAATTATAGTCTGCACTGAACAATTTAGTACTTTTAAGCTATCTTGTATTTTTTACTAATTGCTTTGTGAATTAGTCTTATCTTGCCTGTGATATTGCCTCTTCCTTAAGGATAAAGTTCTGTGGCCCCCCCACGGTGCTGATGCAGCTTTGGGCACAGGGTTAGAGGTTGACCTGGCCCAGCCAATATGCCCTGCAATAGGATCTGTTAGGGTCACTGGGGTCCATGTGCCACAGATTAGTCAGTAGTGGTTCTGCTAGCCAGTTAACAAACTATGTTAATTTGCAGTGATGATGGGAATAGTACAGTTCCTCTCTTGAGCACCAATGATGTGCTGAGACCTTTATAAAACACTTTCCAGACATTGATTCCCTTAGTCCTCATGAGGAGTCTAGGAAGAAGTAGAGATGAAGTAATGCAGCTCAGGGAGGTTAGGTAACTTGTCCAAGGCCACACAGCCAGTGTGTGGTGGAGGAGGGATGTGTAGGCTGGGTATAGGATCCGTGAGCCTAACCACTGGGATAGACCACCATAGCAGGAGGAGTGCTTTGGGCCCAGGGCCCCCAAGTTCTCATCAAATCAGTATGTGGTGGTCTGAAGGCTAGATGGGGAGGTAGAGGGTAGAGGAGAGGATCCATCATTAGGAGAAGGGCCAGATGCTCTGGGGAGGGGGCATGGAGCCAGGAGCTTTGGCAAGAACTTCCCTCTGACTTTGGGCTGCATGTGGAGCTGGGCTCCTCGCTATGAGGGTGGCCAGGATCAGGTATCTGCTCAGAGGAGGGTGGTGGTGTAGAAAGAAAGTAAGAGTGGTTCTAGGGATTTCCAGCTGCTGGCAGGGAGGCCCAACCGGGTGAGCCCTGCTGGAGGAGTGGGGGAGATAGACGAGGCCTGGGAGCTTTTGCTGAGTTTTCCCAGCTGTGTCCCCAGAGAAACGGGGTGAGCAACACAACAAGGGCAGGGCCATCAGCCTCCTGGAAAGAGGACAGGGTGAGCTTCTGTGTTGGGAGCTTGCTGCCTTTGCCCAAAAGAGTCGTCCTTCTCAGATCTGCTCTTTCAGACCCTACCCGTCAGTCCTCCACTCCACAGCCGAGGAGCCTCCCGGGGACCAGGAGCTGGGCAGATGCTGAGGCCTACCATGTGCTGGGCAGGGCTGGATACCAAGGGAGAGGTAAAAAT